TACCTGAATCTTTCCAACACAGAACTGACTACAGACCAGAAACAACTACTCAACCTGGGGCCAAAATGCAAAATGCAAAATATGCATAATTAAATGTTATATTTAAATAAATGAAAATATAGGTAATAGTTAACAGATATATATATATATATATATATGTATATAAAGTCTTTTTTTTATTTTATGGGTAATTATAACAAAATTACATATAATAGGAGGCCTTGTTTCTCTGGTAATTTTATAATGTAAAATGCAGTAAATTGTTCATTAAGTTGTATATTAAAAAAATTAGGAAAGAAATTACTAATTTTTTATTTATTTCCAAATCTTTTTTTAATTTTGTATTAGTTTACATGATTTTCATGTATTTGTTGATAAAATCATGCATTCCATGCATGGCTCAGTGACAAATAATCGAAGACTCAATAGAGAGATGATTATAAACATCTCATAAATGTGATGGTTTGAAAAGATGTGTCTGACATTACAAAAAGCTAATTCACACAAAAAAGTATTCCCATGAAGGAACTAAATTAGATAAGAGCGAATATATTAAAAAAATTATAAAAATGGTAAATGAGGAATAACAGTGATATTTTTGACATTGCCATTGAGGGGTACCATTGTTTGTTTTTTTTTACTCATCCCAGCTTTTTATTTTTAGCCAATTAAAATAGATTGCCATTTTTAGCCAGCTAGGAAAACATGTTTGAAACCACTGTTGAAATTGTTGGCTACATGAGAACCTAGCAATCAATGAAAAGTTTCATGTGCATTTACTATGGAATATGAAAAGAATTGTAAAGTTATAAAATGCTCAATCTATTCCAAATGTCCTCATTGTCAATGTTATTGTGATGGTTTAACATCTGAAGTTAAGTTATAAGGAAAAGCAGGAGGCAAACAACCCTCCAGCAAATGAAAAACTCGTTGGCTGGATCATTGAATCGGTCTTTGACAAGAACAAATAACTTATTAAACACTTTCATGAAGCATATCCTGATGAAATATTGCAAGAAGAGTTCCCAACAGAATATCAAATTGTTATGTTCATCTCACGGGTTAGACTGGAGTTCAAGGATTCCCAAATGTAGTTTTAACCACTGGTTGATACTAATACTACTGAGAGTTCGATGTCTTACAACTATGCAATAAAAGACATTTTTTTCAACAAAATTTATACGTAATCTTTCTCTCACCCTGATAGGTCAAAATAATGCATAAAAACAGGTTTCCAGTATGTGTGATTTTTTTAGCACCAACAGCCTGGTACTACAAACAGTACCACTAATTGGTGATGTAAGTGTTAAATAAAAATGTTATCAAGTTAAATTATATTTTGTGTTAAGTTTTTGTGAAAATATGTTTTCAGGTCCTCGATTTCATGTGTTATAACATAATAGCTGTTTTTCCTTATATAAACATTGTGAGAAAAATGTTGAATATTTTAAATGTAATATTTGAACTTTTACTTAAAGTTGTTGAAATGTGTAACACAAATAAAGTGGAACTTGTGCCAAAATATATTGATAGTATTTTGGAAGAAAAAAGTTTTTGATAACTGATCAAAAATTTGATAAACAAACCCTGTAAATACCTATGGAAATTATGTATGTATAATAAGTTGTTTCAAATAATAATAATAAAGTCATTCCTCTTACTTTCCAATCACCTCAATATTTTCTGAGTAGCAAAAGCTAATCCATATCATACACAGGTCATTCAGAACTACTGAAATAAATTCTACAAAGCAAAATCAAACAAGTATAATTTAAATTTTGTGCTATTTTGAGAGTGATACTTTATTATTAGTTGTAAACTTTGTACAGTCTTCAATGTTTTGTGCCTCAAACTGTAGTATTTAAACAAAACAGATAATATATATGAATTATGAGTGTTATTTTCTAAAAATAGCACGCTTTCCAACTAAGTAAGCTTGATTTTCAATTGCTATCAATATTTTTATTTTATAATTCAAATGGTATGTATAATATAACTAGAAAACATTTTGAGGTATAAAGTATTATTAATTAAAAAAATTTTTAAAGTAATTCATTGAATTATCTCGTATACAAGTTGAAAAGATCATTGTAGTTACTGTGGTCACAAACAAAATCTTGTTTGTATTTGTTAACAAAACAATCAGATACTATTCAAGAAAAGATGCAGAAAATGCTATGAGATATGTAAATGGAACCAGATTGGATGACAGAATAATAAGAACAGATTGGGATGCAGGATTTATTGAAGGCAGACAGTTTGGTAGAGGGAAAACTGGAGGACAGGTTTGTGTTTTTTGTGTAACTTTCTTGGGATAGAAATATGGTATATATATATTTTCATTCTCCCCTTTATCATGAACTTTAGTTAAGCATTTACTGGTTTGTTTTTGTTTTCTTCAAGCCAAAAAAATTACTTCTAAACTAAATATATGTAATTTCAATAAGGTTTTCAAATGTTTGGTTTCTGAAATTTAAGCAGTTTAGAGCAGAGAAATGTTCAGGTTTTATGGGAAGTGTTTTGCAAACTTATTTTCAAGTAAATGTTGTTTTAAAATAAAATAAAAACTTTTGTTTTGTAAAGTCCTGGGTTTATTTTTACACAGTGCAACATGCACACCATTATCTTGGCTATCTTTCCTATTTTACACATGCCAAAAGATTTTTCAGCATCTTGAAAGTTTTTGAACAAGATGCATAAGACCTGCATGAAGGTGAATACAAGCCTGATATGTTTAGCTTTTTTATGCCATGGAAAAAACATATCATTACTAATAACATCAAAACTAAGAAGAAAAGTATTAAGTTTTCAAATCATGAACTGAACAAATCATAAAGGTAAAAATCAGCAAGTTTAGTTATAAAGATCAATTATTTTTCTAGTCTAACATCAGTTGTACATTATCACAATCAGGTTTAAAAATGTAAGTTTTGTAACTCAATCACAAGGAACCCACATGAAATATTAGGTCGTCAAGAAATTAATGTCCCTTTTTTTTAGATGAAGAAACCCGAACAACTTGTATATCAAAAGAAAACATTTGTTAAATGAAATAGTCTCCATTCTTATTGATGATGCTTTTCCATCCTACAATCAGGTTATTAATGCCCTGATTAAAGAAAACACTTGGCATTGAAGCAAAAATCATGTCGATGTCCTTTTTAACACCTTCCTCATTTGTATACGTTTTCCCATTAAGTTGGTGTTGCAGCATTGTTTAGATATGTGTTTTTCACGTGTTTCCTATTTATGATTGTCCTTCTTTGCCATTTAAATTTTTTTTCAACAGTTTTATTTTAAAGTTTTTGTATTCAATCATTTCAACATTCTTTATTATTCTTTTTTTTTTTGCATTTATTTATTGTTCCTGAATTATAAGAGATCTTAGTATGAATTTGCAATTCAAGTTATTGACTACAGAAATTTGTGTTATGGTCGAAAACATTACTGGTACATCTTCCCAGGAATTGGGTTCAACTTTATCTGCAGAGGAGGTAAAGGCCTTAATTCCAAGGTAGCTAGATTCATATGTTTGTCCAGTGATTTCTTCTTCTTTTTAACTTGACAATGTTTCTGAGGAAGAATACAAACAAGGTGAAGATATTTGGACTATTTTTCCAGAACCTTCTTATTTTGGTCTGTCTCACACTACGCCTAAGTTTTCCCCTTCATTGTTTTTTTTTTACAGCTTGTTAATCAGATCGTTGTTTTAGGCATATTCTGGTTTTACTGTATGTTCGAGATGTGAATGATTTCGCTATCTGTGGTAAGTTTTTTGACTTGTACACTTCCCACATGGTAGATATACCTGTGGTAGGTGTGACTCAGATGCCCTGTGTGTGACTTTACACACGGGAAAATTAAGTATTTAACATCATCAGTGCTTGGACTTTGGTAAGTAGATATTGATTGCTACTTTGTTTTTTAAGTAATTTGTTAATATTACATATTTTGTGGACTATAAATTTTCGAGGGTATGCCAGTTAGATATTTATAAATACTTTAACTAGGTATGTTTAGATACTTTGTCAGTTACATATCATTACTATTAGTCACATCTACTTCATTGTTCTATCTAACTAATTTTTTTTCTAGCCATTGTTAATTATGTGCCTTATAATCCTAAATATTGTCAGGTTTGGACTTACTTATGTGTCCTAAGTTAGTTTAGATGAATTGTGAGTTAGATATTGATTATTGCTTTGCTTTCTCAGTAATTTTAGTTGGTTTGCAAGTTTGTTATTTTTGTGTACTTTGTTACCTAGGTATGTTTAGGCAGTTTGTACATTACATTATTACTACTTGTACATCTAAGTAATTTTTCTATCTAGATACATTTGTTTTTGTCATTGGTATCTACATGCCTTATAATCCTACTTTTCGTCAGTGTAGGACTTAAATTTTTTTTTGCTTTGCTACATTGCTAATGTGTTAATTTTTTTCCTGTTTGTAGGGCTGAGTTTGGCTTTAGCTTATTGTCCTACATTATTGTTACCAGAAACCAAATTTTCTCTTTGTAATGTACAATTCAAGACTGATGCCCACATTGTCAATAGTTATTTATTACTCAAAGTCTAGTGTTCCAACTCAGGGCCCTACCTTTTGGATTAGCCTCGGCTTTTTAAGTGTTTTGTCAGTTGGTATGAACTCTTGCCCGACATCTTCACTTGATGGGTTTTTGCACTCATTATTGCATGGATAACTGGCTCCTGCTCGCTTCTACCTGTTTACATTCCAGAGAACACACTATTCTGCTCCTATAAGAAGCAGCACAGGTGGGATTACTGATGAATGGGGGAAGTCCATTTTTACCCCCACTAAATTCCCCGTTCATTTGGAGGTTTTCTTCATTCCTACCTCTGTTGGGCCCAGCTTTCTTCTCTTCATCATAAGGATATGGAGCAAGGAGTCAACACCCTTACCTCACATTCTCTCACAGCTTAAAGTTCTATCTCTTTTGGTGATGTGGGCTTTCTTGGAAGCTCTCATTCCTGTGGGTCGGGCTCTTATGCGTTCCCTTCAGTGGAACTTCTACTCAGATCCTTTGGATCACCCTTTTACCCTTCATTCCCCACTTAGAGCCAACCTGGCCCAGTGGGGGCTCTGCTTTCTCCGCCTCGTACAGATTTACATCTGTTCATGGACTCACCTTTAGAGAGTTGGGTGTGCTTATCTCGACTTCCGGGAGGTTTCCAGTCTCTGGTCGACCAAGGAGTCTTCTCTCCATATCACCATTCTCAAGCTTATGGTGGTTCATCAAGCTTTATCCTACTTTATTCCTCTCCTGCAGAGGAGGGTGGTTATGGTACACTCTAACAACTCCACAATGGTAATGTCTATTACCAAGCAGGGTCTACCAATTCCACGTCTCTGTGCTTTTGGATCATGAGTCTCCTTTTCTGGGCCCACAATCACCATATTGTGATTTTAGCTTGCCATGTTCCTGGTGCCCTGAATCTGTGGCAGATCATTTATCTCATCCCAATAGTATTCTCCCCATGGAATGATCCCTTCCCAGTCCTTCTTCCCTAAGACATATTCTGCTTGTGATGGCATTTTGGCTTTCACACCCATTTCCTTACCTTCCATTTCCCACCTGTACTACCATTCTGATCCTGATCAGCTTTTTTGTCCAGTTTGCTTCTTAAGGTGTTATGTGGCACATCCTGCCTCCTTTTGTAGTTCACGTTCCTTACTTTTATTCCTTGGAATCCTTCCATTTCTTGTGATCTATCCCCTGTCATGCTCGCTGGTTGGGTTCACCAACTCATTAGGCTGGCATATTCAGACTTATCCACGGAAGGTCGCCATCTCCATAACATTTCTTCTCATCAAATTCTTCATATCACCATGGCTTTGGCTGCTCGCCGTCTGTTGGAGGAGATCATTCAGGCCAGAATGTAGGCTACTACCAATACCTTTCTTGTTCATTATTTGCACAATTTGGCTGTATCTTTCTCAGGTGGATATCGTATCCCTCCCATGGCAATTCTACAAACGTCTGTTTGGCTTTGACTGGAGTAAGTCTTATCACTTCCTTTCATTTATGTTTTCTCTTCAGAGACCCTATTTCTTTTTACTACTGATAATGGCAGGTGTTGTCTGGTCAGATATGCTTTGGCTCAAACCTGCACTATTTACTGATTTACTGATTGCTATAATGCTCACTGTAGAGATGGGGGTATTCCGAAGACCACTGGTGGCATACCCAGTGGTATATACATGTGTTTCTAGATATCAGTAAATTTTACTCAGTGGTAAACTGTCACTCATGGTCTTCATGATTAAAGCAGAAGGGGATTTTTGCCCACTTCTGCCAACCCTTTGATTGAATAAATTGGAGTTGGTCTGCTTTTCAAAATAGGGAATCATGGACACCCATTGCACTTTCTCTGGTGTGGCATTCCTCTGGACTCCTCACCATGTTTACTTCCCCATTTTCTTTCTTCCAGTGGAGCAAGAGAATCCTTATCACTTCCAGCTGCTGTTGTGGTGGACCATGGAGGCTTTCTCCTGAGTGCATTGTAGAATTTTAATTTACCACACACACTCATGATTACCCACTCAGTGAGAAGAAGGCAAAGCTGGTTTCCCCTCCTTTCATTTCCTCTGGATGCTTTTTCCTTGGTGGACAACTATCAGTTAAAGCAGGACCAGCCTACACAGGATCCTCCTCGTAGTACCATGTTCGGGATCACCCCACCCTGTTCCTACAGTTGTTTGCAGTAGATGCCCCTCTTCTTGTTAATTCCGGGTGCAGGAAGTTCTTTCCCTGCTCCTATGGTTGAGTTTTGGGGATTTCATCTGCCTTGTAATATAGGCAATTGGATATACGTACACTTTATTCTATGGTTGAGAGGCTGTTCCATGACCTCCTCATAATTCTGGATGTAGGATGTCTCTTCTCTGCACTTACAGTTGGGTGAGTTATGATTTCTGCTCATAATATTGTTTACAGATATTCCTCTGTTTTTACAGTTGAGTTGAGGCAATATCATGACCCCATAATGCTGGATTTGGTTGGTTTTTGGAAGTTTGTCTACATTTGGCCTAATGTTAACTTCCTCTTTGTTGCTTTGTTACTTATCACCTAAGTAGAGGTGATTTGAAAAATCTCCAAACTTAGCAAAACTATACTACAGAGACTGTATACCACTAATATAGCTGGCTGGCCCACATGGTTATTGTCTTGGCAGTAAGTCAATTGAGTTGAAACTGTGGTTGTACTATTTTCATTTCCTGATACTTAGCCTGGGTATGTTATACAGCTCAAATGGGGATTGTAAAACTGACATGGTACTGCAAGTTAAACATAATCTTGCAATATGAATGGCTGAAATGCATGTATCATGGGTGTATTGTTACTCAACAGTTAGAATCTTTGGATCTTTCTTCTGAATTGTGTACTAGAAATTTCTTTTTGTGATTTTTTAGTTTTCCCAGTAAAACTGCTTCAATAATCTGCTCTTTGCTAGTGAGTTAGTTTGAGCTCAGCATACAATCACAATTATAGTAACCTTCTCTATTTATAACTTTGCAATATAAATTTTATCACAGTGTATTGATACACAAGAGTAAGAATTTGTGAATCTTGTGACATTATCACAATTAGTTTGTTAAATTCTGATGTTTTTTGTTGTACCAACTATTTATATTGTGACAGGTTCGAGATGAATACCGAACAGATTTTGACACTGGAAGAGGAGGTTATGGGAAGCTGATTCAACAGAATATCAGTGGTGCACCAGGGCCTATTCCCATGATTCGCTGACATTTCATATTTAATGAATAAATAAAATGTGTGTTTATACATTTAATTGTTACTTGAATTACTTTTCTGTTAGTGAAACATACAACAAAGAAACCTTAAATTTATACTATTGCACTGTAAACTGTGGCTGTATAAGCTTGTTGTTATAGAGATAATATTATAAACAACAGTATTTGGAGGAGTATAAATGATGATTACATGCATTTAACAAATTAAAATATTGTACCTTGAATTAAGAATTGTTAGTAATTTTCATCACTATTTTTACAGAGCAACTTTTTTTTTTTTTATTTAAAGATGTTTCACCAGATTAACCTGGTAAAATGTCTTGAAGTTAAAAAGTAAAATATTTTGCTCTCAAAATACATAAAAATAATGTTTAAAATTGCAACTATTTATAGAATCAATGATTAATGTGAGAAAACTGTTCATAGTAAAACCAGAACAAGCTTTTAGCTCTGGGTCTTTAGTAAAAGTTTGCAGGTTCAGAGGTGTACATATTTGTGTTCTTCACTAATGTGTTTATTTAGTTGTTTTATTGTAATGTAAGCTGAACCTATTTCTGTGTAATTTTTCTACAGTGAATGTCGTCATTTCTCAAAATAAAATATAGGTTAATTGAAAGATTTTGGTGGTTTTAATTTCAATCTCCAAAGGAATTCTTTAAATCCAAATCAAAAAACAGTTTGTAACTATTCCTTTCTTGGAAGTTTAATAAACTTTAATTCAGTTAAAAGTATACATATATAGGGTTTCCATGGGTCATGAAAATCCCAGAAACTCATGTAGCTTCCTAAATAAATATTTTTAGTACAAGAAATCCTGGAAAAATTGTTGTTTTTTATTAGGAGGTCCTGGAAAATTTCTTTGAAAGGGTAATCTTATTGCTGCTACATCCCCTGTTCTTAGTGACAAGCTGTACCATTGGGTTTACCTTAGTTTTGCGAAAACAGGCTTATGAACTATGTACTTCTGCAAGGTGAACAGATATGAAGTGACTACTGTTGAAATGATATTGTTGGTGTAAAATATGTTCAAGACTCGTTTGGAGGAAAACTAAAATATTATAATGTTTTATAAGTTAAAGAAAATTGACTTTTCAGAATTATACTAATTCCATTTCAGCATCAAACATTTCAAAAGTAATTAACATTTCTAGGCTAAGTTCATCAGTTAGTGCCTAAAATTCATTAATAAAAACAGAAAGATGTAAATCTAAATAACATCAATATGATAGATTGTCATAAACCTAACTGCCATGTTTATACCTGATTAGGCATCTGCAAATAATGATAGGTCAAGGTACATATATTTTGAGTGTCATTCTGGACCTCTTTGTCAAACATTTTGGGAAAAATCAGGACTGTAAACAGTATTGTTATATATTTTATCAACATTATTCTGTATTTTCATATTCTTGTTAGTTTTTCTTTCGTTTTTCGTTTCATGATTTTTCTTGTAATCTTCATACCCTGTAATGACTAATATCACATGGCATCACCCTAGAGAACAAATCTATTCAGAAAAATTATGGTTTCAAATGTTGTTAAGTATAACGTATTTGAACATCCATACAAACATTGTAAGTGAATCTTGTGACATTGTTTTTCATACTCTGAAAGTAATAATTAATCTTTTCAATGGCTCATGAACTAAATACCCAATTTAGAATAACCTAGTGGCTGGCACCAGTGTGCTTGGTGAATTAGGTGTAATGTGTAATTGGTTCTTGCCAATTGTATTTCACATGGAAGATACCTAAGTAGAGGTGCTTTGAAAAATCTCCAAACTTACTCCAACCTTATCTTTGATTAACACATTAGGCCTCATTTGCTGAGGGCATTGATACCCAGAGGTAATTTGAAGTTGTATATTTAGCTCATCTAATTTTCAATTACTGATAATAAATAACATATTCTTGCAGAAATTAGACCTAAAAGTATTTTTTTATGAAACGGACTTACCTTTTGAATGTTGCTTTCGCAATGTGGACAAGAAACAATGAAACATGGGGGCATAGATTTTGTGGATATCAAAGTGTTACGTTTTGCTATACTTGTAAGAATGCAAAAAAATAATGTCCAGCTGTTTTAGCTAATGCTTTTTGACAATACATATACCTATAGTGAAAACTATCCTCTTTGTTCTTGCATGAGCTTTTGAATGAAAAACTGCAGGTAAAACAAAGAACATAAAGGTGGTCCTTATTTGTAGGTAAAATTTCTGGCTAAAAAGTTAAAAGCTCTCACCTCCTAATTTTGATTTCATGTACAAAAGAAACATTAAATGTCAAACTTAATCCATTTTTGACTATATTTAGAGGTTGTTCAATGAGATTGAAGTTCTAGACTGCAATGGCTTGTTACTGTATGTACAATCTGATATAGAAACATATTTATGTATTATAAATGATTTATTTAAAGCATTACTTTATTCATTGTACAATACTATAATTATATCATTTTATTTTAGTGTGTTTTGTCACTTTTCTATTGTTATTGTTTCCTTTTTGGCAGCCCCCCAGTGGCACAGCGGTATGTCTGCGGACTTGCAATGCTAGAATCTGGGTTTTGATACCTGTGGCGAGCAGAGCACAGATAACCCATTGTGTAGCTTTGTGCTTAATTACAAACAAACAAACCTTTTTGGTGTTAGGAAAGCATTTTCTATGGTCCTACACAACTTCACTGAGGAATTGTTTCTGTTGTTCTTTCTTTGTTATGATGACATTCTACTCCTCAGTAAGGGCCACATCCCTTTGAACATTGTCATTTACTACATTAAAGTGTTGAATAGTCTGCAGTCCTCTCTGACCTCCCATAACTGGGGGGAGGGGGGTCATAATCCAGATGGGATCTTGGGGCACCTGAAGAAGTGTTGTGTTTTTCGTTATAAAATCTTCAATTGATATGCCCTCAGACTTCTTGATATTTTGCTAGATGCAATTTAGAAATTTATCAGTGCTTTTCTTCTCCTGTATCATTGTTCGTTTTGTCTCTGTGGATACAGCTGAATCAAAGAATGCCAAATCAACGAGTTCCTCATTGATGTATCATAGATGTTCAGCAAATTTTTGACAGGGAGATTTTGAAAGCAGAATTCATCTTATACTTGACAAGACACTGTAGGAACTTAAGATCACGGCAAGGAGTAGAAACGGCATCAGGAGCAGTATACCATGCTCCAAGATAGACTAGATCAACAAAAATCCATATGTCATGGAATCATCTTTCCTCACAGACAGTAAGCTTAAACTGTCCCGTAAACATTCGGATCTTGAGGGCATTAATGTCTTGGCAATCCATCGTGCATGATGTAGTGCTCCAGATGCTATAAATTGCACTCCACAAGGAGGGATGCCACCATGAGAGGTTATGTCTAGTTCAAGGGGCTCTTGATAATCGTCTCTAGGTTGGCTGACCTAAAATCGTTTTGTAGCAAACTAGTGACACTGCTTAACTTCTGTGGCTTCTGCTACTTTATCATGGTCAACTGCAGTTTCATAACTGAACAGGACCATGTTTACCAAGATTGCTGGAATCAATTGAAAATTGCAGTATGTGGAAGAGAAGAAAGCTTCACACGGTCTTTGAAAACATATGCAAGGACAAGTTCTAAGATATGATTATCATATTCCAAATATCGAGGATTCTTGTTAAATCTTTGTTCTAACAGCAGATGTGCTCCATTTTTGTTACCAGTGTTTCAGAGCGAACTGCCTTTACATGATCAGTGGCCACAATAGAAGCTAGAGCCTTTTTGGTGCTAGAAATCAACCTTGGAATTGGTTCCTGCTCCAGTCAGAATTACTGGCTAACGATCCACTTGTTATTTCACTGTGAAATCATTAAGGAGCTTGCCATCCTACTGAACTACAGTGAGACTGTTGGCTGAAACTGCTCATTTTAAGTTTTTGACAAGTTCTTCACGGAAGTGATATCGAGATTTTCGGATCAAAGAAAAGTTTATGGTTGTCTCCTGAACATCATGACAAAGACTGTGACTTGCGTCAGTAAGGACAAATATTGCCTATCTGTCACTGAACTTGGTTTTGTCCATAACTGCTGCTGCTATATTGGGAATGATAATATTTCTTCTCGTTTAGAAGATAATTCTCTATTTGCACCTCTGTCCTTATCACTGTTATTGGTACTGTATACAATCGCCTCATCATCACTGACGTGGGACGATTTCAAACAACTGACAGTTTCATTGAAGGTCTGCTATTCCTGATCGGCACACTATTTCATGTCAATACTTGCCCCACTTCTTTTCTCAGCCTTTGATTCCTTTAAAGAAAAACCTTTATCTACCTGGCCCATGTTCTGTTTTCTTCTGAGCAAAAAAGAAAGTCCTTATCTTCTTTAAGATCAGGGCATACATATGAGCGGTGATTTTTTGTTGCAGTAAATTAAAAATAAAAGTTCAAGATAATACACATAATTACATTTTTTGGTAAATTAGTTTTGAGAATTGTTTTACATCGATTATGAAACAAGTCGTACAACTGATACAATCCAAACTTTACCATTCAGTATTTACTTTCTATTCAAATTAAAAAATGAATATAAGTATCAAGAAATTAAAATATATCTCAAATATAACCAGTTATACAAATTATATGAAAGAAAGTTTATGCAAAAGAATTGTTTTAAATTGTTAACTAAAGTAACAATTTTTCAAAAACGAATAAAAAAAAACTCTAAACTTAATTTTTAGGAAGCAATAGATCAACAAGTTCCAAGGCAAATTAAATTCAAGTCAATTTTAAATCTCATTTAGACATATGCATATGTTTTTATTTTGGAAACTATGCAAGTTATTATCTATAAGTTATTAATTATAAACTTAATTTTTAAGAAACAATAGCTCAACAAGTTCAAAGGCAAATTAAATTTAAGTAAATTTTAAATTTCAATTAGACACCAATTTGTTATGTATCTGCTTGTTTGTTAATTTCCGGTATAAATTCTTTCCAAGGAACTTCAGCAATATAAATGCACTTGATGATGAATATCATCCATCCTTTCAGATAACATTTTCACGAACTCAGGCATATTTTCAGGCAACTCTTCGTAAGGTGGGCATCCTGTTACCAGGTCCACTAGCAACTGAAGTCCCCGATCAAACATCAGCTTTGCTGGAGTGTATCCAGTGGCTGTATGCTCCGCTGTTCTATAGGCCATCAACAGTGGAGGGACTAAGACATCCCAGTCATCTTGGTGGCTATTACAAAACTTTGCCAATTCCTGTTTCTGTGTCCAGTTGTAATTTTCTACCATCCCATCAGATCAGACTGTGGGTGAAGTGGCGTTGTCCTA